TGAGAAAAAGGACAGAATGTGGCAAAACTTCAGGGGAGATTTAAAATGGAAAGTGTAATTTAATGGCACTTAATGGGCTTTGTACTTGGCACTTTGTGAATTGATTATGAATTGAATAATAAATTTAAGACCAGCTTAACCCTTTAACTCCCAAGATCTGATTATTAATTCTCCTTTGTAGCTGCTACACATTTCTTCTAAATTAGCTCAGAGAATTTGGTGTTAGATCAGAAAAACAACTTCTAGGTGATAAGTTTAAGTATTCTCATAACCTGTTTGCTTGATAATGTATGGATATTATAGGGAGAAGTTACTTCTCAATCACTTGTGGGAGTTTAAGGGTTAATTGGAAAGTTTTGATTTTAGAAGGAAAGGTTTAGCTGTTTCTTGTGGTGAAATACATTAAATTGAGAACGAACATCAAAGTCAGATAAGTATCAATTAAGCATGGATGTTTTTAGAAACTTATCCCCCTTTATTAGTCCTTAAATTCAGTTCTGTAAAGATTTTGTTTTTTTTATTAGGTTTTGTTATTTTCAATACAGTTACATAGCTTTATTAGAACATCTTGTTATTCAAGTAAAACTCAAGTTGAAGGCCCAAGTGGGCTGTTCTGAGAGCATGTCATGTCATGATACATGTGCCTGTGCATCCCCCTAAGCAGATGTTTTCTTGTGGAGGGTCACAAATGATTGAACAGTTCTGTTTTACACTTGCTCATTGTAAGACATTTTCAACTAGTCAGTCTTTGCATGTACTGCACAGTTGCATTTTAAAGTAGAAGGTTAAAAATTTGGTTCAGGTACATGCACTCTCCCCTTCTGTTGTCATTTGAGGTGAACTCTCCTTAGAATCACTTCTTTTACTCCTCTGTGTGGTCCATGCTCAAAGTAGACAACCTTTTGGGGTTCTGTGATCAAGTTTTGGTTAGTAGCCTGTGGAAATAAATTTCCTTCATAATGAATTACCAGTACTTGTGAGTTCTCATTATTGGAGGTTCATCATATTTTTTTTGGTGCAAATCTATCAAACCCTAGATTTTATTCTCAAACATTCTTCAACTAAATGTTTTGGACACCCCTGCTGTTTTTTTGATTGAAAAAAAAAATTTAATGTCAGTTTCCCTCATCCTCCTCTACTGCTAGATTGGGAGTTTACATGGTGTAGCACTTCCTACATGTAGTTGCACAATCCTAGTGCTTTCAATAAGATTTGAAGTAGGTGGCTACCTTGGGAAACCCTCTGCTGGAGAGTAAAACATAACATGATTTCCCTCTCGTTAGCCTATTAGTTCCATTTAGAACAAACTGGCTTCAAATGGAGTTTTCTTTGGTAAATAATCATTAAATATTAGTTTTCTTAATTTGTAACAGTAATTGTTAAACTGATTGTTTTATTTCTGATCAAAATCTTCCATTTTCTGACATGTAAACCTGCTCCCTGAGTTTCATAATATAGGTCCCCTGAAAGGACATATAGTCACTGGTTACTGAAATAATTTGAGTCCCTATGTTCTTGGAAACTAAAATTCTTTTTTTCTTTGTGGAAATGTTGTGTATAAGACATTATACTAGTAATTTTTGTCAAAATGTTTCTATTAAGGTAAAACTCTAAAAGATCTTGAGATGTTTTAGGTCTCAATTTGAGAGTTTTCTTGAAAGCTTCCTTTTTTATATCAGATCATAAACAATTGTTGAGCCTCGATTGCTTCACGAAAAGTAATGAAGTCACTTACTTACTCATGTTCTGGCTAACCAGCAACCTTAAGAACGTGGTCTTCTTGGCTTTTCACAGCAAATGCAGCTTTTCTTTTGAAAAAAGGTTCGATGCTTAGTGTACAATGACTGCAATGGCCATTTTTGTTCCTCTCTTTGTAGTTTAACCTCGGGTAAGCATTTTTAATGCAAACTTTTAAAACATCTTTGCAAAAAAAAGTTCTGAATTTAATTTATGTAAGTTATTGACAAGTGCACTATTTTGACAATATAAATTTTCCAAGTTTGTTTTCCAGATAGCAGTTGAGAGGAACTATTGTTGTTTTATTTGTTCAAAAATATTTGACAATTTTAGTTCGGCAAAGAGTCGCTTGAAAATTACTTTTATTAGTAAGCAAGGATGGGTACTTCTCCTTCGTGCATGATGAATTTATGTAGAACACACAAAAAAAGCAGGAAGAGAAAACTGTTAATGAAAGATTGAATTTAAGAATCAAAGATCATGGAATTTGGAAAATAAATAAGGTGAACACTCCAATAGTGAATTGATTTTTATTTCTTTGTTATGAAAATATGACTTGAACGTGGCAAAGCATACCTGGTGACTCACCACAGAATAAGTGCCGGGGGTTATTAAAAGCTCTGCAATCCATGTACATTATAGAAACAACTTTGTTGTAGAGGAGGTGGTTGGAAAGTTTTGAATGTGGATGTGGACTTTCAGATTTGGTTTTGATTTCTTTCAATTTTGTCACTTAAAAGTAAGTTTTCTAAATATTCTTGTCAAAGAATGTTGATTGTTGTTGAACATCATCTGAAAGCAATGTTTAAGGTTAACACTAGAATAAGAAACACGATTCTTTGAAACAACAAGGTTCATATTAGAAACATGTAAGAGAACAAGATTCTGTCTTAGTAATTTAGACAATTTTGTAAATTCCTCATGCATTGTTATTGCCAATTACCACTAAAGGTCATGCTGTTACCTATAAAAACTTGGGTACAAAAGGTATTCAGGGAATTTAATATAAAATAGATGAGGGGGAACCATTTTTATATATTTTTGATAAGATGATTGCCACTTCAGGAATAACAAATAACAAAAACCTTTTTTTTTTTTTTTTTGGCAAACCAACAATTTACATTGTTATTTTCAAATCCAGACACTCAAGGAAGACTAATGACAACAACAAATTACAACAGCAACTTTATTTGTACTAAACTACAATAACAAATTATTTTTAAATTAAAAGAAGGTAGTAATGTTTGCCCAAGATCATTTAAGAGCTAAAATGGTTGGGTGACTGCCATTTACACAAGTTCAACTAAAAGCATTGATTAGCTTAACCATTTAAGCAGATATCTTAATTTGAATTAAGGTCAATACTTACTGCACCAATCACAACTGTAAGATAAATCAAATGCATTTAAAAAAGTATCAGGATATAGTTAGATATTATCTAACTAAAAGTAAATAAGGAATAAGTACTAGCCAAGACTTTTAGATTAGTTTTGATAATTGATTTAACCTACATCTGGGTGATAGGTACCTCTGGAGATTTTTCAGGAATGGGGAAAAAGAAATACCTGTGATTGCTCATTTTTTAACAATTTCATTTTTTAACAAACAAGATTTTGTAGTACAAACTCTTGTTAACAGATAAAAGAACTGTAAGCTACATTGAATTGTAGAACATACTTTATTGCTCAAAGGAAAGATTGTAAAAGAGTAACACATTTAGAACCTTTCTGAGGTTTTTGGTACTTACCACATTTGACAAAGTATCACCGGCAGACATTCTGTTTTATCCTCATGCTCTTCCCACTTTATTTGAATACTGATTGAGGGGGCCATGGAATGTGTGATTTGAATTGTTAACATGCATGTTTTCATATTAGCTGAATTAAATTTTAAACATTTCAGGATTTTCATGTGTAGAGTTCAGATGTTAATGTTACTGTACGACTTGAACCTCCTTGAACAACAATTTGTTGCCATGCAAGTTGTTTGTTAACCTATGCAAGACAGTCTCAAGTCCTCATGGTTTAAGCCAAATTGTTGGTCGTTCCTGGGTGATGGTTTTTGGATCAAGGGAGTCAATCCATGAAATGATATAAATGGTGTCTTTTTTGAACTCGTGTAAGTCATCTTGTTTCATTCAACACAGTGTGATGTGACAACTGATTGACTGACTGACAAGGTTGAAAAGAATGCCTAGTTACCTTCCTTTCAGAGAAGTTAAATTTCTTAAAGAATTGTTTGCCAAATTTCTTTGAAATCTAAAAGAGCCAATCTTCTCAAATGTTCAGGGGATTGTTGTAGCTTCAAATTGACCAACGCACAACATCTAACACTATCCCTCACTTGCTTGGCCAGTCTAACACTATTGCCGGCACAGTAACTGTGTGATTGTGGTGTGCAGTGGCCTTCCTCTGTGCCAAAATATTCAACTGCCACTTTTCGGTTAGAATTAAACTCTTTCCTTGCAAGGAGAGGGGAAAGGAAATTGGCAAGGGTAGTGAAATGGAGTTTAGTTTGCTCTGCTTTTTCCTTTAATTTATTTCTTAATTCTTGTTTTAAATGTACGATAACCAAACATTAACTTGCAGTAAAATGTGTCGCAGTCTGCCAGATATTTACAGCTGCAAATATGTTTTGCTCTAATTATCTTTTCCAGTTAGAAAATGATTCTTCTCAAGATTGTAGTAATGGAGGAATCGTTAGTGATGTCTTTGGGGATTGAACGTTTTGACCTGATGTGTTTACACACTGAATTCAGGTTAGAAAGCTTTACATCTTAGTTTGTTCAACTTTTTGTAGAAAAATAAATCCTCCTAATTCAGATGCTTGATTTGACAATGGAAACCTTCAGCGAACCACGACGGCTTTCGTAACGAGAACGTGGCCAAACAAAAGTTTAAATGAGCACATCAATAGCTCAACACGTGCGTTTTAAAATTTTGTACATTTCCTAGTGGTCCTCTGCAAAACCCAGCATAAAATCACCAAAATGTGCGTGGTTTGAAGAAGGGAACAACGACAGTGAGTTATTTCCATTTGCATTTGGAACTTAACTCTGCTCTCATATCCTATGCTAAAGGGGAGGTGTGCCGCCATTAGAGGCGGTAATCAAATCTACCCATTCGCGAATTTCTTAAGAGAAATATATTTTATTTTTAAACGTTTTAGGGCCAATACTGAAAGTAAAATTCCATACCAAAGGCACGCTACCCAAGGGACTGAAGTGTTTTTCAAACACTCATATGCAATAACAGAACTTGGTCTTTTTTTTTGCCATTACCACGGTTTTCTTGTGATCGCTTTTTCCTTTCTTTCATCATGATATATTTTACTGTTGATTTGTTGTATATGATAATGTTAATTTGCTGTCAGTTTATTTCTATGAAATAAGGTGACTGAATACGTAATACCTGAGAAAAAATATTATCCTATTGTATTGTATAATTTTTACTTTCTCTTGCAAACTTACTAATTTATTGATCATGTTCTTAAATTAACTTTAGATTAACAAGAAGTAAAGCAAGAGTACCGAGACAAATTATCAACCTCAGACAGATCGGGGTGGATTGACAAGAAATAACACAAGAAAATATCTATCTTGGACAGAACGCAAAAATTGGGGGTCGGTCCGCCCCCGTACCCCACTACTCCTTAAAGGAAGTGTTTAGGTATTTTACTCGTAAAAACTGCAATACGCATGTGTATTAAGACAAACGTTCCTTTGCACAAAACGCATGCGTTTGAAAGAAATGTTTTTACCACAAGGTAGACAACATTTTGAAAGACTTATTAAAACTGCCTGAAAGAGGTGGGTGCGGTGGGGGAGGTCGGACGGGTAAAGTAAAATAAACTGTCTCAAAATATTGTAATATTACTGTATAACAACATTTTAAATAGTGATATAACTGTTCTAATATATATGAAAATATTCTATGGTAATGTTGTAATGCTGTAATGTACTGTATGGTAATAAAATATGCTTGTGCCACAAGGTAGAGGACTTCTACTAAGTGTTCTAAACTATCTAATAGAGGCGGGTGTGGGTGGGGATGGTGTACGGATCGAACCCCAATTTTTATTTTATTCTCTGAATTGGGGGTCGATCTAATTTTGCTTTCTTTCTTTCCAAGATTGACATTTGTCTCTAGTCTCATGCTTAAGGTGATTGTGTTCCTTGGCATCCAGTTTTGGATGGTCGTGGAAACCTGCAAAACAGGGAAATAAAATTAAGACCAAGAATTTGAGCCATTAAAACGTTATACACTTTCATACTCTATCAGGCTTTCCCCAAAAAGACGAAAAACGAACTTTTCCCACCAATAGACTAAGACAAACCTCCACAAGCTTCTTTTCAACAATGCCACAGCAATTAAACTGTTAGACTCGAAAGAATTTTAAATTCAGAAACTTAATGAATCCGCATGTGTCCAAAACAGACCTTCATCCCAAGAACGACAAACGTATATTTTTTCTAGTCAAAAGATCATGACAAACTTCAACGAACGTTGCACAATTTCATTCAAATATACGACAAAGCTACGCTCACTAGAGTAAGAAGTATTCTCGTCTTTGTTAAACCTCTTTTTTTACACTTATGATCTTTGGGTTGGCTGGAGGAGGAAAGATACGCCATCATTATTTACATACAAATTTGCAGTTGTAAACAATTTCTGGACAACAGAATTTTACCAGTTTCCGCTCATCTAAGCTAGTTGAAGAATTTGTTCGTCTTTAAAAATTCCCAGACCTGTGGCAACCATGTGAAGGGGAACCAAAGGTCGGTGTAACAACGGAATTGGACCCCCCCTCATGATGGAGTCCTTCATTCTGTACTCTGGAAACGGTTTGGAGGGGCCATTCCATGGACAACCAACCTAACACTCAAGCATTTT